GAACAAATCAATTCGTTGCAGTCTGAGCAGAACATATCACACAGTTTACCGGGATGTAGTTTACATACCTCTGGCACAGGCTTGTCACCCTTACGGTTAGCCTTCCCTATCGACACGACGTCATCGTTTTTAGTTTTTCTTCCGCGTGTATGGGTTTCCTTACACCGGTCACATAAATTCTCCTGACAATCGTTACAGTACCATCTTACCCCGTCTTCACTGTCACACAAAGCACATGTGTAAGTAACGGGTTCTTGGGCACGCCGTACGGATCTGTTACTTGCCATGGTGTTGGTACTTAACACACAAACAGTGAAATACTACCATTTGTTTCTGGGTCGGTACAACTATAACTATACACTTCCTTGTTACGGTTATACCACGTGACTTGACCGACAGACAGTATAATGTCCCGGACTCCTGGCGCTAGGCCAAAATAATCTAACTTAAAGGCAGATCTTGCTATCATACGTTACCATCATTACATGTGTGTATTAGACATACATTTAAGTTGTGATTTGTTCTTGAACTGTGTCCCTTCGACCAAACATTTAGACTTTCAAAAGAAAACGACTAGTGCTGAATACATATGATGAAGAAGCTGTATGAGGCAATAATCTTTTTGGCAAATTTTATGCATTACTTAATGTTAAAGGTGTATCACATTTATTTGTGTTACGTTCATCTCATGTATATTACATATAACGAGCTGGTCGCCGCCAAACTAGCCCGGTAACAGTACAGAAGTGGCACGAAATTCCCGTTAACGTCATTTGACGTCACAAAACAGTTTATGCACAGGGGTTCGTCACAAATGTCTAAAATTAACAAATGATTTACTGTTGAATCAAAGCACATCAAGGCACAACTAATTAATTATCTTAGTTTGATGTGACTCATAGCAGTGTAGCCAATGTTTATTTCAGACATATGTCACAACCCCTGTACAATGATACAGATGCTTGTTAATTTTAACTTTCTGCCCCACTTTTCACTTAAGATCCACGATATCACACAGTTGTGATGACTTATGTTCATCTACTAAGTTTCGGAAAGCGTAAATACTACTGCATTATTATTTATACTATATATACCCTGTTTGAACAAAGAACATTTCTAACCCCCTAAAATAAAGAATCGTTACTGTAAAGTTGACACTTGAGTGTTTTGAATTGTTTTCAACCCCACTACAACATCTGTTTGTTATACATATGTATATTCGAGTTTTCGTGTAATGACTGTTACTTGTGACTCAATAATATTTGTGTATTTTACTTTTTTAATATACATAATGTCAATATGAAAATTGTTGATGGGTTTTGTATATTTCGACCCATGATAAATATGACTCGACTTTATAAAGAAAACGTACCGCCTCGGTCGGAGAAGCACACTCACAAAACAGTGTGGTAGCTGTGGACGCTTACTCTGTCAGAGATGACAGGGGACTACACATATGATCCCTTCCTCCATGATGCCAGGAGCGGATAGTCAGGATACTTGATGTTTTTCATTATGCTATAAAACGTTATTCATATTACAATAAGTATAAAACAATTAATTGAAACTCATATTTTACTATCTTTTTGGACCTGATGTAAGCGCGCAGGGGTCTCAATTTGGGAGGAAACTAGAGTGCTTTTATTAAAAAAGAAGAATGTATAATCCACTGCACCCCCGACCACCCGATGTTTGCATGCTTTAAGGAGTTAGGGCGAACGTCATATACAAACATGATATGTGATCACCATGGTATGCACACCAATACCTCTGTTTCAATTTTGAAAATAGGAAGGATGTCATAATCAGTAGATACATAGCCCTAGCTATTAACATTATTGGTACAGGTAAATAGGAAGGATGTAATAGTCAGTAGTTACATAGCCCTACCTATTGATGTTATTGGTTCAGGTACCGTCGTGACAATCGATCCACACGTGTCCACACCCACTCTTTCAGGGGTAACCAATCCCTGTCTCTGGTAAAGGACATACACCTGGTTGTTCCTCAGCTCTCGTACACAGACTCTGTCGTACTTGTCAGATGATATTTTATGGCTACTCCTACTACGAACCTTTTGGCGATTGTTGAGTCCACCAATTGATTTATATTTAGTTATACTTGAACTGTGAACTATGATTGATATATTATACCATGCCGACATTGCAACCACTCCTGACGATAAACATGCAGCAAAATACACATTTGTTTTAAACGAAAAGTTCGAATAGGTACCATTTATTTGTATTGTAAAAGTAAAATGCCACATCAAACAAAATAAAAGTACTCCATTTTAGGTTTCCTCACACAACTTAAACAAATGTAACTATAGGTAATTTGGTGTATTTTGGAATCAAACAATAAACAACGACAATACGTTATATGTTTAGCAAGTGTTCTATTTAAAACGTATTTACATCACATCGTACATTTATATCAATAAAATAGCATGATAGTTTAATCGCGTTTTTAAACTAAACCAAGGAAATAATTACATGTAACCTTAGTTAGTTTATTTAATGGGCAAGACAAACGTTTCAATACATGCTTGCTCATTCAAGTGTGAACTCGTCATACATCTAGCATGTAAAAGTGCGTTCAACATGTACCTTTAATAGTTTATATTTCACAACTGTGTATTCTGGCTTCCTTTAAAAAAAATCGGTATTACTATGGTGCTGTAGGGATATCTTTGTCAATCTGTACAATAGAGTACAAAAACAGCTCTAGCATGTCACCGTGAACACTGTTCTTATGACAAAACTATCCTTTTTGGTCGCAGCTATGGATAATTTGTAGGTCTAAAACAGGGAAGCATAGAGCTCCCCAAAGGGTTAAATAAATATCCGACTATTTAGTTAACCGGATAACAGTTGACAACCTAAACTAAAAACAACGTCGTTTTCGTCCATATGTCGGCATCACGTCTGTCCGCTTGTCTGTAATGTCTGCTTTTGACAGATCGCCTTGATATGTGATTTAGTACGACCCTGCTTGATGGCATTTAAAATCTCTACATAAAGTCGGATATATAAGTATTTCATGGGTGTCTTAATTACGCAAAACATATGTGATGAACAAAACAGCATCTTATTCATTTCTCATCAAGAATTTAGAGCACCAAATTGATTGTAAATCTGATTTGACTTTTTAAAAACACATTTTATTGTTAATGAGTATACATCAAAGACTGGACATAAGTTATTGTAACCTACAAAACTTCCCTCTTATAACAGTAACACAACAGTGTTTGATACCAGTCATTCCCCTCTTATTTCAGTTACAGAACCGGGTTTGTTACCAGTCATTTATTCTCCTCTTATTCCAGTTACACAACCGGGTTTGATACCAGTCATTTAAGAATTAATTACAACGCAGTCGAATAAAAGGTTGGAAAATTGAATGGCTGGAGTTATTTGTTGTCGTTACATTTTCGTCCCCTTTAAATCTAAATATAATTACACAACACGAAGTGGTAGTACACCATGCCAGGGTTGTTGGTATGCGTAAAAATGATTAAGCATAAAGGAAGTCAAAAAGATATATATTTACCTTTCTATCGAAATGTTATTTTCAGTTGATTTTCAAATAATTTTATAAAAAGTTCACTTTGTTGGATTTGGATTTTTGACAACAAGTCATTTATGTGAACGGTTTCCTCCCTAACAATATGGCATTGATATTCCAGGGGGTTCGTTCACTGAAATATGTCATGACAAAATTAAAGTCTCTGCTATTTTCTAAATGATACAAGTACGCTAGTCAATCAAACAGCTACATTTGTGCCTTATATTTCACCATGATATTTCCATGGTTGATAAACGGTATAAACAGTTATGATCCCAAAGAACCTTCCACTAAGTTTGTTTGACTTGAAGTAATATCCGTTATATATAGAAGATGGACCAAGCAGATGGATTTTGTAGCCCAGAGTTACTTCCCCTGTCTACCTTTGAACCGTTTAGTGCTCTCTTCATTTTCATAGACTTTGTGGCCCTTAAATTGGATTCTAACTTCGGAGCTATTCTTTAGACGAAAGTATTGGCGTAGGCTTGGCAGTATAATAGTCATGAGTTCGAATTCTGCAGTACTTCTGTTCCCCCTTTTCATTCCGATTTTCAAAACACTCAATTTTCACACAACTATAGTTCTGTAAAATGCATCATCACATATATTTTTAATAAATACTTCTTTAAAAATAAATATTCACAACATTATCAGCGGAAATAATGGAATTTAACTCATTGGTACCCTTTCTTTTTAATGAATTGCAAAGAAAACAAAGACCTAATACCTATACAAATACTTTATTTAGAGCTTCACAGTTTAGTTAGTTTTATACATGAACAGAGAATAAGAAAAGTATATACAAATCTAAATCCATTGAACACCTTGTATTTAGATGTTTGTATTGTTTGGAAACGAACTTTTCGAGTAAAAAAACCGTAATGAAGATGTTTTATATAGCACGTTCTTAAATATTGACAAAGTGTCTGTCTGTCTGTCTGTCTGTCTGTCTGTCTGATTCTTTTCTCTCTAACTATCTCTTCATATATGCCTATAATTAATTACGTGTCGCAAAAATGTTTTAAACAAACATTTCATCATTATGACAATCATAATAAGATATTTTAACATTATGGTACTCGATCTTTACCTTAAGATGACATGAAATATTTCAAAATAAATCTTTATTAACTGAGTAAATAAAAACAATACCTAATCCCACATATAGATAAAACAAAACCCTCAGCGCAGCTCACTATCATTGATTGATCAGTTCCATGCTCAGGCATTGTCGGTTCAAAATCCTTATATAACTTTAAAATGTTTTTCAAATATGTCATTTACACCAATTGATCAATTGTTCGAATTATTCTAAAATATGAATCGATATTTGAGGGTATTTTTCAGACATTGATGAATTGTTTGTGATGATATTTACATAATGCAGTATTGTACCACGAGGTCAAATGTTCACCATGTACTATATCCTCATGTTACAGTCGGATCACGTGTACGGTACCGTCCACACATCCGATCCACACTTTCCCACATGTGTCCACACCCACCGATGTAGGTTTGGTCACTCCACGTTTCTGATCCAGGAGACACGAGGCCTGTGTACTATCTCTCGGTAGGACATACATCTGACTGTTAGTGACATTTGGTACAAACAGTCTGTCGTACTTGTCACGTGGCATCGTACATATGTCCCTACTACCAACTTTTTGACCGTTGTTGAGTTCACCAGTCCATTTATATTTGGTTGTACCAGAACTGTCTGGTACGATTGATACATTATTTAAGTCCGACACTGCAATGTCTCCTGACGACAAACATGTAATACACCGCCCATCCATTCCACACGGTACCTTCCTCACAATCGTACCTGCATGATTCAGTACCACTATGTCTGGTGTGTTTGTACTAACTAACACCTCATCCTTCTCGTTGATACTGATGTCGTATGCTCTATGTGGTCTGATGTCAGCAAATGTTGTCACTTGTTTGTTAGGTAGTGATAGTTTATATACAAATGTATTTACTGGGTTACTGGTCATAAGTATGTCTGTTGTCTCGACCATGGTGATTCTGTGCGGACAAAAGTCAAGTTTTACTGCCTCTTTGACCACACCCTCCCTGTTGATCAGTACCAGACCCTGGTATTCGTGTATTGATAACCACGCGTGACTGTCGTCGACTTGACTTATATCCAATATTTGATTTTGTTGCGAAACAGTAAACTTAGAGAGACGCTGAACGTGTTTACTGTCGATGTCTGTCTTCTCGTACTGGTCCCCGTGGTGTAATTCACCTAACATTTTCGTCAACAGGATGCGGTTGATATTTCCGAGAACAAAGCTTGGTTGTTTTGGTGAGACATGTTTCACCTTAACGTCATACAGAGGCAGAGTTGTCCTCAATAATATTTCCGTTTCAAATATGGATACACTAGATGTATCTGTCAGTTCCGCCTTTTTAAGCAGACGCGTCAGCTCTTCGACATTTTTGTTCAATCACCTTGAAAAAGGAGTTTATGATATTTCCAAATGTGTAGCATACTTACGGAAGCAGTTGATTGTGACCACCGTCCTGCTTGTCTTGATCATTCTTGTAAAAGGGAGTAGGTGTCATTCACAGTCATAGCACTCTCTTTATTTTCAAATTGAAAATTTCATTCCCGAAGGTAAATGTGACACCTTACCTTTGTGTGGTAACCTCAATGTCCAAACTCATTTGAGCCCCGGACACCAGTTCCATTAATCTGTCATCATAGTCCAATTCTCTTCCATCTACTCGTAGAACAATGGCCCCATCACCAGGCGAACCAAAATTGTATTGCCTAACGAACACCACCAACACCTAGTTTCATCAAAAGTAAACAACTCAGAAAGGAAGTTTAATCAAATAACTACGATGCAACGGATTTTACACTGGTCCTTTGATAAAAACTCACTCCCAAATTAGAACAGTAATGTTGAAGATGAGTTGATGGACTATAGCTCTTTCATCACCAGCAATGCCATTTTTGATCATTTACACTTCATTTCTAGCTTAGATCCCTCTCATTGCAGATGAGACAGCCAAGGTCAACACTGTTACTGTACTGCTGGTACTCCGAGAACAAAATTCAAAAGCATTCTTAGCTTGCGAATAAGTTTGTCTTACATTTATGAGTTTTAAATACGATTTTGAAATTCAACTTCTTATAAAAACATATAAAAGATTAGTTGGATTTGCGAGTGGTGATAAATAACAACCATTTATTACCGTTATGAAAATTCGTAAATTGCTTGATGCTTTCAGATCTATACAGTGAGTCCACGTTATGTTGAAGGTGGATGTTCGGTGTAAGTTATACTTAGTATAAGGGATACGGAACTATAAGATAACCTTGGCTATTTTCCGAATTGTTAAAATCATGAACCATCCCTATTTGTGAGGCGTCGACCTTATATATACGCGAATACATAACTATACTTTAATTACACCGACATAATGATTGCTTGTCTCTGTAACAAATATGTGGAAATTGGCAACTCTGTAAGACACAACTTTTGTTTTGGTTACTCGAATTTTTAGGAGGAGGAGAGAATGGATTACTATTCGTTGTGATTGATCCGGTGAAACAACCGAAGACTGTAATATAGAACATATCTGTCAGTGGCGAAATGATATCAGAGATGTATGGTTTGGGTGTTTGACCGGGGTAATTGTCTGATAAATTTCTGGTGGCTAATAAAAGTTCTGCCCCAAAATTGTATCAAAGATACACGATTTCTATATTTATAATATGGAGTTGATATTTATATGATATAATATATTTACTTAATAACCTGATTTATCACACACCTGTTGAATATAACGAAAGGGATAAAGGCGATTGTCAGCCCATGAAATACAAGATCTTGTACTGAACACTCTTTCAATACAGATGTTGCACTACCCTAGCAGTCGAGGTTTTTTTAGTTTTTTTTTATAGGTAATACTAATTTTAATTTTCCATGACCCGGGTTTCAACAATCGTACAAGTATAGTGTCCTAGCACAATAGGATTCTCATTCAATGTACATTTTCTCCATTCTATCATACATACATACACTCACACATGTATTCACATTTTTACACGCACACATACATGCATAAATGTATATTCACATGAATACATGTATATCAATGTATTCCTACAATTTCTACATCGTTCTAACATTTTACATCGATACGTAGCGGTACATGCAAATGCTACTTACATTCCTTTCGTCCTTGATCTTTTTCTTCTTTTCAACTTTAAACAGTCACTCGTACATACATTCTTCTCTACTTATTTCCGTAAGCATAGATACTTGAATATAAATGCATGAAGCTATTCATTTCCTCCTTTTAATCCTTTTCTTACTGACTATGCAACTTCTTCATAAATCATTTAGTCATTATAATTAAATATAGTTTTTTTTTTATAGATAACAAGGACAAGGTCAGTTTATTAGTTAATTATCACACATTAATAGCCTGATCAATTGTATTCATCTTTTTACTGTATAAAACTAAGACGAACTGTAAACACATTATTATATACCACGGACATACGTCTAATTACTATAATGTAATACATAAAAAATTCACACGTACCAAACATTAATACAGTATGATATGGATAAAGTGTACGCTTCCGGTTGTTACCAACTCAATTATACATCCAATGTTTTTATCCCGGTTCAGTAGAACACATGGTTTTTGTAAGTAAAAAATCATAATTCTTGTAAAAGTGTTCGATGTGTTGTCTTAACGTTCCAAGTTTTGATTATCTGACAAGCAACAACACAGGTAAAGTGAGCGTCAGCCTCTCAATTCGGAGTCCCATATTACAAAAAGTTGTCAACCCCCCCAACCCCCCTCCTTTCCTGCACTTATACCCTAAAATATGTTTATGGAAATGGTTCTATTTTATTGCTTTCATGTAAAAGGGGCTGGTCGGGGAAAAAAATTCCAAAATAAAATAAATGGGTCTAAATGCGTTCTCTGGCCTTCCAAATGTTATACCACGGCAATATGATGGTCGATATCTGCTTGCAATGTCCAGTTGTTGGCAGTGAAGATAACAACAATAGCACGCCGTCTATCAGGCATGTCGGACTCAACTAGCGGACAAGACAGCAATACTATACGTAAATATTTGTTTTCAAAAGTCATGTATGATGCAAGTGTAGTATTCCTACCTATATGTTGTTGTTATATATAACGGTATTGATACCTCGTGCCTGTCATGACTTTTGCATGCATCTTTTTCTATCGCCGCGATGTTTACATTTGGCCTTGTTGATGACGCGCATGCGGTAAAATTATATCACTGATCATGGTCAATTGAGAGTTTTAGACTGTCAGGTAACGATTTAGGATTTCTTTAATATAATTATAATTTTTGCTCTTAGGGAGTGAATTTCAGCAAAATTTGAATCGGTATATTTCATAAGAAGGTATTTTAAACATGTGTATGCCATTTTAGCAAATATGACATTTTTTCCCCCGACCAACCCCTTTAAGTCAAACAAGTAAAGAGGTGTTTATTCGGTCAATTTTGTAATCAAACAATAAACAACGACAATACGTTATATGTTTAGCAAGTGCCCCATTTTAAACGTATATCAATTAGCATGATAGCTTACTCGCGTATTTAAGCTTAACCCAGGAAGTAGTTAAATGTAACCTCAGTAAGTATATTTAATGGGCAAGACATGTCGGAATACAGTAAGGCGGGATTCAATTACAGTTATCAGTACTCGAAATCATATGTGATAGTATCGTTCTTTATAACAAAGTTTGATCGACTAACGTTTTATTACATGCTTGCTCAATCAATAGTGTACTCTTCATATCATCTTTATATCTCGCATGTAAACGCTTTGTATTCTGGCTTCCTTTTAAAATCGGTCCTGTTTTTCTATGGCGCTGGCGTTTTCTCTTTGTCAATCTTTACAATAGAGTACAAAAACAACACTAACATGTCAGTCTGAACACCTTTTTTATTACAAAACTATCCAATTTTGGTAGCAGCTAAAGATATTTTGTTGGCGTAAGCCGGAGAAACATGAGGCTCCCTAAAGGGGTAAATAAATGCCCGAACATTCTACAATTGAAAATGTTCGTGGTCTACCGACAAAGTAACCGTTTTATCAGCTAAGCATCGACAACACTAACTAAAATGCAATGTCATTTTCTTCCATATGTCCATCAAGTCAGTCCGCTTGTCTGTAATGTCTGTTTTGTGAAAGATCTCATTTATTTGTTATTTAGTACGGCTTTGTTTGATGGTATTAAAGATATCTACATGAACATGGCCTTCGCCTTGTAATTATATAAACAGATTCGTTATTTTTTTCATGGGAGTCTTAACTACACAATAACTATTTTTATGAATACATCAATAATAAGATTCATTTCTCTTGGAAAGCATCGACTTGATTTTAACAAATTTAACTGCTACAAATTATACAACAAAGGCTGGACACAAGTTAAAGTAACCTCAAAATCTCTTCTCCTATTCTTCATTTATATGTAGAAAGGATAGAACACCATTTAAGTCAAAAAATGTTTTTTTTTTTTTTTTTTTTTTTTTAAAATATATTAGTCTGAGCCTTTGATATACATCAAAATGGTCATGCGGCAACGTAACGGGAAAATTGAGACAAATCCAACAGCTACCTTCGTGCTTTAAATTCCACTATGACATATTCCACGGCTGCAGAGATCGTAAGTGAGCGTAACTCCAAGAGTATCGAGGGGGCCTCCCAAAAGACAAGGTATGATGATGTTTCGACTTTTAAACTGGAAAGCTCGTGCTCACACTTTTAATTTCGTTGGCTAGTTATTATTGGTTCGCTTTCCGAGACGATAGATAGTTTACATAGGACGTCCACATACCAAAGGCGTAAACAATTCTATTACAAATATTGACAAAAAGGCGGGAAATTAAATACTCATGACTTAATTTCTAGTTTTTCGTGTAGTTTCTTGTCTGTCTAATCCGTCAGTAAACTAACAAGAATGTTGATTATAAGTTCTTTCCTCAATTGTTTCAGATCACGGAAGTTTCGCTTATTAAATAATCGCTTTAGATGCATAATCAGTCCTGCGACCAGGATACAAACCAGCTGCGACTGAAAAATGTTGGAATCGCAGACAAATCGTAGAACGATCGTGCGTTCTATGACACTAAAATAGAAAAAAAGACAATAACATTTGTTTTGAAATTCACTTCAACTAAGAGAATTTGTGATGCATCACATCATTGCCCCCCCCCCCCCCCCCCACACACACACACTTT